GTCTATTGGTTTAGATAATTATATAGCCATGTTCATATAAAAGGTGGTATTGTAGTACCACCACACTATGTATTCTTCAGAACGGTTAAATAGAAGAAGGTATTAAACTACAAACATTTCAGCCATTTCCAAATTAACACGATGGACACAACAAAACTGATATACAGTATCATCGGTGCAGTCGGCTGTTCGACTAATGGGTTTGCGCTATTCATTCTATTTCACTTACAGAATCGGTTCAGTACAACAACTCTCTTAATCTCAAATCAGTGTATCATCGACGTTTTTGCATCTTTGACGTCGCTTTGTCTTTTTCTCGATCCAGACTTGATGACTCGGCTCCCAGAATCAAACGTTGCAGCAACATTTATTTGTAAGTTCTGGTCAAGCAAGTATATATTCTGGTCATGTACATACACCTCAACGGCTAACCTTGTGGTACTTACATTTGATCGTTACTTTGCTGTAATATATCCACTAAAATACAATATGCTCAAGGAAAAGGCGAAGATAAAAGTATTACTTTTGCTGATTCCCTGGATATGTGGTTTTGGATTTATATTCCTGTGGCTAATGGTACACAGTGTAAAGAATGGAGAGTGTATCCAAAGTTGGCCAAGTGTTGGTTATCAGAAAGCGTATTCTTTGATGTGTGGTATGTACATCCTTGTTGCTCCTGTGAGTGTAATGCTGTTTGTTTACTTTAACATTTTTCGTGCACTCCGAGAACGAGTTGGAGATGGTTCATCCGCTGTAAGTGAGAACAGTGCAGCCAGACGACTGAATATCATTAAGACAATGGTGATAGTTGGTGTAACGTACGTTATTTGTTGGGCTCCGACCGAAATATGTTTTATCTATTTTACATTGGGTGGCGAGTTTGATTTTAATGGATCAATTTACTACATTACAGTAGCAATGTCTTTGTGTAACATCTGCATAAATCCCATTATATACACGTTCAAATATAATGACTTTAGAGTTGGTGTGCAAAAAACTCTGCCATGTTTTAAATACCTACTTACTCTGCCATGTCATAAGTCTGCATCTACAATACAACAAGCTTTTCCATCGGGAACTGTATCAACAAACGTCGTGACGTAGGCATAATCTCTGATATTAGAATAGATGCTACAGTTGTTACGGCGAAGTGCATTGTCTGATCGCGTTATCTAGTAACTTCTGTTGATTATCCAACCAATCCATGGTGATAAAGCTAATTTGGAATATCAAAAATACTGTTGAATCTCTAAAAAAGAAACGACTCTCAGATACCAGCCAAATAATCAATAAAAAGATATATCATATTCGTAATTTTTCTTAAACCTGTCATCTAACTAGAAATTGCAAATTGCAGGTGAAGTGCTGCGAAGTACAACTGCATATAAATGTTCTTCGAATAAAATTCATAATAAAAATATAACAAATAATATGAGACACGACCCATTGTCTATATTAGAACACTTCTATTTAGTAAAACGCTGAATATGAATACTTGAGCGTCGCGAGTTGACGTCAACTCTTAATTTTTTCTATTTGGTGAGATGATTTAGTATGGGGAGTTTTCAAGGTGGCGAATTTTCTAGGGGCGAGTTTGTAGAGGCGAGTTGACTGCCAACGCACCACACAACGTAAGCATGATTGAATTCGAGTTAACTCGGCACCAAGTCAACTTGGCCACAGTTTCGCGGCCCCCTAGTATAATACATTTTTAATTAT